TCAGTTTTTGCCATCCAGTGTTGCCTTCATCCCCACCCCTCCCCCGACTGTACTTTAAAAAAATAAATAAATAATCCCCCCATTCCGGAGCCCCTATACTTCACAGCTCACAAACTTTGAATGAACTTTGGTGATCCCAACCAGTCCTCACAATGTGATGCACACGCGCTAGTTCACTGACTGGTCATGATGGCGAGCCCGACAAGACACTTATATGAGTTTCTTTTTTTTTTCCAGCCAGTGACAGCACAGGTTAATTGCTTTACGGAGTGATTATTCTCACCCGGGGTGAGGATAAACTGGATTTTATTCTCACCCGGGATGAGAATAAAATTGATACTATTCTCACCACGGGTGAGAATTACGACAGCCGACTATTCTCAACCATTTTTTTCGTTTCGGGCATCATTGGACCCCTGTCAGTGTCACTGAGCGCGCGAGGCGACTAAAACCGCCAACAGGCGGGCCAGCTCTCGAGCGCGGGAGGCGACTATTGTCGAAGTGGGGGAAATCCAGGAAAACCTAATCTTTTGACCAAATAGCGTCACCTTTTGTTGCTACAGTATTAATTTATTGGTTCTGTAACATAATGGAAAATTTTACTCTTGAATGGTTTAACCAATCAAAATTAAGAAAAAAATAAGCCTAGGGTCAAGGCACTGCATTCCTTAAAAATAATCGTGGGTTCTGCTAGGGATAACCACTAAACATGCTTTTTTGTGTTGTAAACAAATGCCAATTCTAACACATTACAATGACAAACTATAACAGTGGAACTCAGATTCAACGAGAACTCGGATTCAACGAGGGGAAATGGATTCCCCGTTCTTTTTCTTCTTTAAAATCAATAAAAATAACCCGGATTCAACGAGCACTTAAATCAGTGAGCTCGGATTCAACGAGGTCGCTTCCATCCAGGGTGAACAGCCCATGCAGACGTGGCTTCGCTCATTTTTCTCCCAGAACGAACTTTATCTATTCCCGGAAACCATCCATTGCACCTGCATCATGAACCATTATTCACTTAGCCAATTGCATGCGACCAATCAGCAGCCTTCTTTAATACCAACACAATGTTGTTGGCTCGCGCACCTGTCTACCCTAGGTCTAGCGTGTGTCCGGGTCGGATGGGCGGCTTGCACACGTGTGACTGTGTGTGCATGTCGGGGGGGGGCACCAGCGGTTCGGAGGTGGAACGTCGCAGAGATACAAACGAGTCACAGTCATCCCCCCCCCCCTCTGGCAACTGATCAATATTACAATGATAAGCTAGTCTTGACATAGATCTACGTAATGAATTATGCGCTGGTCTATGGAATGAAAAGTTGCCGCATGCTAGGCTCAACACAGCAGCTCAACTTTTTGGCAAACAATCGAGACGACACAGGCGTGCATTTGAACTGATTGGTCTTTTTTTGGGCACAGTTAATAATATGCAGGCATTTCAGGAAGCACCAATTGTTACTTCTCTTTATAAATTACTTGCTCAGTGCCTGTAATTATCTAGATCTACACAAAACCTTATGTTTGCTATGCGAACACTCGGATTCAACGAGATTTTAATTTAGGCCTGGCGACCTCGTTGAATCCGAGTTCCACTGTACTAACATTATTTCATTAAATAGCTTTCAGTTAAGGCTATTATTTTTAAAAAACATACTACTCTGGCAAGTGAATTCCTTTCTCAATTTACAATATATATTTACACTTGTCTAGGGTTTTGGTGAAGATATGCGTGCATACTCTCAACTCAAGATTTAAAAAAATGAAACAATAACAATCCCCGTGGGAGCCTAGACAAATCGGCCAGCACTCTGGGGCAGGTCACGAATGGTCACTCTCTTACAATTCACAAATTATTTTCTATCATCCGTTCTCAACACTCATGTAGACCTAAAAATCCATATATATGGCTTTATTTTCATTCCAGTTACCGTGTACGTAGATACTGAGACAAGGAGCCCGGTTATCGTGTACGTAGATACAGAGTCTGGGTAAGACTAGGTGTCTGGTTACCGTGTACATAGATACTGAGACTAGGTGCCTGGTTACCATGTACGTAGACACTCCATTAAAAACCCCCCACAATCTTCATATGTTTACATGGCAAATTATAAATTGGAACAGGAAGACAATAAAAAGCATGAGGAGATACTACTCTAGATCTACATAACATGATAAAAACCTGAAACGTCCTCTGCGTTTGCTGTATCACGCCAACGCCCCATATGTGAATAGAATCCGACAACCCCTGCATTTCAATCAATCAAAGATCTGAAATAACAATACAATGTCAATACGACGGATCCGATAACAATACGCCCCAAAGAGGTAGAAAAAGTCAGCTGTTGAATGCTGAATTTCGTTCTGAAATTTTTTAAACTACGAAATTCACTGTAAAGAACTCGGGGCCATTAATTTTAACTCAAACTGAAGAGATGCAGTTTAGATCAAGATCTATTCTTTATACACTCTACTGTTGACCGAGCTGAGCCATTGAATATTATTGTGATGTGGAAAGTTGAAGAAACTGAAAGTAGTGTAGTTTGCTTGAATCTAGTTTAGCAGTTCAGAATGAGAGACTCCAAAAATTCGAGTGACCACCATTTTGAGGCGTTAAAAAAACAAAACAATATATTATTTCTATATTTGGCCACAAAAATAAAGTAAACATTTTGTTACATACAAAATGAAAATCCACAACAATTTAAATATTTATAAAATATTTTTCCACTTTGTGTTTTGTCCAGTTGATTATTTTTAGCAATAATAATTTCCTTTTGCTTGTGCTAATAACTGTTTTTATATTGCCGTTGTCTATGGTAACATCACTACCAACAAGATGGCGGGGAACGTCGACACAGACAAGTATTATGTTGAAAGTATCCTTTCCAATCTCTATGATGAAATTAATATTCTATGGACATGAAATATAAGTTAATTATTGCTATAAATGTACATTTATTCCGTTTTGTGTCTTGCATGCAAACCAAATATTCATAATTCTATTCTAGATTCTAGATCTAGATATCTAGATCTAGTAGATCTAGATCTAGAGATCTAGATTCTAGATCTAATCATGACTGATTGGATGTGTTGACAAATCAATTTAATGAGTATGAGCCTTATGAGGGACAGCACGAATGACTTGGATTATGATGAATTCAGAATGGTACAAAGAGTAGACCTACCGTGCGATAAATGTGTTTGTTTTTCAGTACTCTGGAGGACCATTAGTGGCATGCTGTCACTGGATTTTCAAAGTTTTCTTTTATGGAAAATAGTCGAGTCATAGAGTTTGATTAATACGTGCGTCATCTTTCGCTGTGGAGATACGTACTGTGGACTTTTAAGCTTTTGCACATGTCTTCAGTGTGAGTGACTATTATTCAGAATCGGCTCTTTGGGTTTAGGCAATATTTTTTGTTTAGTAATTTTAAATGGTCTATAAATTGTTACTGCTCCATCAAATTTCCAGTACATTTAATTCAAAGAACTCTTTGTGCAAATGCACTTTAATTGACTAGGGTATGTTATAATTGTTAAATACCGAGATTGACTGACAACACAGACAAAGCCTGGGCGAAAGAGAGAGAGACGGAGAGAGAGAGGGAGAGAGAGAGAGAGAGAGAGAGAGAGAGAGAGAGAGAGAGAGAGAGAGAGAGAGAGAGAGTGGGGGGGGGGGGGGTGCGGAATTATAGATGGACAGGTGAAGAGGATTGATTAGCTAGCTAGGTTTTCCACTTCTTTAAGTTGTTTGTTTGTACAGTACATGTATTTTTGGACTGGGTCATTGGTAATCCAAACTATTGTTTGTCGTTGTGAACAGAGTTATTCCACCATGAATGTAAGTTGATCCTTTGAGTTGTATAGTATAATAAATTTATATACAGCTGCTATTTAAATTAAGTTGACACTTTCAAATATGAAGAGGTTCATTTTATTACTTGAATTGTATTTCATTTCATTTGTGGAATAGATATTGCTTTGATTCCTTAACATTAAACTCACAGAGGAGGAGATTGCTGTAGACTCAGATGATGAGTTCGTTTATGAGGAGGTCCCAGTTGATGATGATCCAGTTCCTCCAGGTGAAATCAACTTTAACCTAAACCGTGTTTTAAAAAAAATCCATAGAATCTCTCCATTGTCTCATTTGTTTCAGCATTCACTTTTTAGTGTGATTATAGTTAGGCCTATCAGTCCATAGCAGCCCATAGAAGCTTACATAATACAGTGAAAGAAATGTACACAAAAGGCACTACCACTGACAATTTTACAAACAAGTTGTATAAGTTGTTCTAGAAACAAGTATTGAAATATTCAGAATTGGAAAAATACCTTTTTATTCACCTATCACCTACGTATTGTTCCACAATTATGATTGACAAAGGATATTTGCAGGGTACTTACTATAGAAAGTTAGCTTCACGAGGAGCTGCACCTCGTATACGTAACAGGTTGGACAGTGGTCATTTTGAGATTTAATTAACACTGGTTCAAATTACCAGTCTTCACATATGGCAGAGTAACACACGTCATAGGTTTTACTGAAAGATCAATATGCAGAACTCAAAAGGATTGTTTTGAGATGCAATGGGTCTTACATAAAGGGTGAACAAATAGCATCTGAGGGTGTACTGTACAGTATAATAGTATCTGCCTTTATGAGCCATGATCGATAAAGGCAAACATAACTATGAGCATATACCCAGTGGGCAATGGTCTTCACACTTCATAATTTCTGAAACAAAATATCTTTGAAGCATATACTGCCAATTCTTGTTACATTTTGTAACCTTGCAGCTTATAAATGACCAAATCTGCCATTAAAAAAAAATCATTAATGGGCATAACGTCTTTTTCATTGCTTTCCATTTTAACACAGAGTTAGAGGAAGATCTAGATGCTGCCGTCAGGACTCTGAGGGAAGCAAATGAAGATGCTGATGCGAGGGTAAGTATGCTACATTTCAATTAACTTTTATGTTATCGATTGAATTTGTGCAAATTGCTCTGAAATAGAAAAAAGAAGGATTAAAAGACAGGATGATAAATGAGAGGTACACATTCTGTTGAAAAACTGTTAGAAAATGGAAATGAATTACTTAAAAAAAACATAGAAACAAATCTTGGAATGTGAGAGATGAGGGGGACAGACGTGGAAGTATCCACTTTAACTTACTTGCACCACTTCCCATTTATTTACGGGACCGATTGATATCTCTGGTGCTTTCGGGTCAAGCCACAGGAAGACATGAGCCAGTAGTTGACCCTCTTATTTTGTTTTATGGCAAGCTTGGTGAAGTTATACAAGACACTTCTTGAGCTATTTCGAACTAAGGGAGTCATCACCAAATCGCAATTAATAGAAGCTCTGTGAACAGTAGCAAATGTCATGGTCTTTTAAGAGTGGAGATAGCGTCTAAAAGACATAAATAGAACATGCCTAAATCCTTCAAATGGTCTGACAGTGAACTAGAAGGCTATAATTCTCACAATGTCCCACAAAACATACCAGAAGCTGAGTCTATGGGTTGAGGCTGTATTTAAGACAATGAAAGTTGAAGTCGGGGTTGGGTGAAAGTAGGAATTAGAATAGCTTTTTCTTCTACCAAGTCTAGTTCGAGTGACAGTAAACATAATATAAATCTAGTAGTTCTAGTTGTGGGAACAGTTGCAGTAAATCTATTACTCACAGATGTAACAATACACATAGGGAGAAATGGACAGAGTATCTCAGTGATGATATCAGACACAGAGCTAAAGCAACGGCCTAGGATTATGTCAGGCTCAAGTGAGTTAGTAACACAGAGAGAGAGAGAGAGAGAGAGAGAGAGAGAGAGAGAGAGAGAGAGAGAGAGAGAGAGAGAGAGAGAGAGAGAATTATAGGGGAAAGGGAAGCTTTTAGTATACTGGACACATTTTTTAACCCTGTCGTAATTGTTAATTTCAGCTTCAGAGGGAGCCTCCCCCAAAGCCAGCTGTGGTTCAGAAGCCAGAAGTTGTTGACGACTTTGTTCGCAATTTCCTGATTCATATGGGCTTGGGACGTACTCTTGACTGTTTCCAAACGGAATGGTAAGTAAGAATCAGTACATCGTGACGGTAACAATGATGAAGTCGCGCATAGCAATTTTTTCTCAAAAGTTACTTGTACTCTAGTAAGCCTTGAACAAAGATGACCTGTTCTAAAAAGTAAAATATAGCAACGTTCTCCTTCTTTGTACTTTAAGTGTTTGTTTTGATTCATCAGTAGACTTTGTGATGAGATAGGTTGTTAGTCTTTTGTAAAGTTTTCTTGAAATGAATACTGAAAACCATGTTCAGAAAGAAAGTATAAAAACATATAAATGCTGCCAGATGTCTTTGGGTTTTTTTTTAAAGAAGAGCCTGATGTGAATGGAATGATGGCATTTTCAGTCATTCCACTGACAAGGTATTTTCAGCAGTTGAACAAAAATAAATTATTGCTATCAGTCGACAGATAGCTTTCTATGCTTTTTGATGGTTATAGCATCTTTTATGCTGTTCACCTTCCCCTCTTTTTCTTTTTCCGTCATTGACCAGGTATGAACTACAGGAAAAAGGTTTACTGAAATACAATGAAATTGGAACTGTCCCAGATGTGTACACTCGTAACCAGGAAATGGAGAATGAAATTGAGTTCTTGCGGAAGGAAGCAAGCAAATACAAAAATGCAGCTTTGTAAGTTGGAGTTCTCTCTCTCTCTCTCTCTCTCTCTCTCTCTCTCTCTCTCTCTCTCTCCCTCTCCCTCTCCCTCTCCCTCTCCCTCTCCCTCTCCCTCTCCCTCTCCCTCTCCCTCTCTCTCTCTCTCTCTCTCTCTCTCTCTCTCTCTCTCTCTCTCTCTCTCTCTCTCTCTCTCTCTGCATACATAATATATATTTATAGAATGAAATTATGTTTGCTTGTGATTGAGTGTGTATGTGTGTTTGTGTGAGTCTTTCTGTTACATGGCCTAATGATATCTGGTTTTGAGTCTTTCAATGTCTTTTTTTTTCAGAGGAATAACTATTAGTTGATGGTGGAGGTGTTTTTACCCCATAGTATCAATAGATTGTTACAGTCATGAGTAAAAAAAATCAAATCTGCACTTAATACAATCAAAATCAAAGGTACATTGAAAGAAGAAAAAGACATGTTTTTCTTCAGCATTTTAAAAAAGAAATCTACAGACCCACCTACATATCATCTTTTCTTGTGTTATATGAGTTTTCAAATTTACAGTGTCAAAATTATATCCTGTGACATCCACTATGCCATACGAGATAAAAAGCCCTTTTTATAGCCCCTAAATATATATATTTCAAAACAAATCCTTATTTATGAGAATTGCTTATCAGGCATATATGTTGTTCTTGTCTTTCATTCATGGCAGGAAAGCAAAGGAAACTTATGTGAAGTTGAGGAAAGAGAGAGATTTCCACCGCATGCATCACAAGCGTGTTGTGCAAGAGAAGAACAAACTTATTGACGACATCAAGAGGTAAGGTTTAGCTCAACTTCATTTGAAGTACGTTAAATACTTACTCTACATGTATTTGTCACCTTTTATATAGCTGATCATTTGGTGGCTGTCATGTGCTTAACTTCATAACCTGAGCAATTGAAATCTTTAGCTGTCGTGACATGCTTTGAGAAGAAAATGATGTATAAAGTCAAAACCAGAAATTGTTTTAACTCAACGTTTTCTTGAAAAACAATAGATTGTGGCAAATAATACTTATAAAATTTCAAAGAAAGACTGTACCTACTAAAAAAATTCCCAATATATCATCTCATAAATTAAAATGAAACAACCCAAGAAAAAAAAAGTCTCAATATGTTATGTATAATTTAGTACCACTGTGGATGGATGGGTGGCGAAAGTGTCAGGAGTGGAGGGCGGGAGACTTTTCTAAATCATCATGATCCTGTGATCTGATAACTGGTCAGTCATCAAAATTTTCATTAATGAACGTTCTGATACAAATTGATCCTCTGACCTAATCAGTTAATCCTGTAAATTTTCATTAACCCACGCTCTGGAACATCATGATCTTGTGACTTTGTAAGTCAGTCAATCATGAGCTCATTTATTCTTTCAAAGGTTGAAGCATCATGGTTCTGAGGCCTAATAAATTGTCTGTGGTTAGGCACTCAGACTTGCAACTGTAAGGTTGTGGGTTCAAATCTTGTTAGGGGCCTGATGTTGTGTCTTTGGGAAAGGCACTTAACATGAATTTTTGTCATTTTACCCTAACGGGAATGGGTACTGATCAGCTATAGACGGCAAAAGATCTTGTCAGTTTACTAGTGTTTTAGCATGTGTAATCCGCAGCTTGTACTGTATGCTTCTCAAGAAACCTAGAATGTTTCTGAGTGTTCTTGTAGGGTCTGCTGCGGTAATAATAGTTGTTAAGTGCATAGAGCATGCTGTAGAGTGTAAATATGTGCTATGTGAATGCGATCATCATATTATTATAAATCAGTTGGTCATCAAATCTCTATTCCATTCACAGGCTGAAGCGTCACTACTCTCAGTACGCTCCCAACATGGAGGCTCTCAAAGCTCGCTATGAAGCTGCCATGAAGGAGAAGATGTTGGCCAACTTGGAGCGTGACAGGGCAGTCGGCCAAGTGAATGGCCTTCAGAGCACCATCAAGAGCATGGAAGGATTCCACGGTAATCACATACTGTTATGATTAGAGCTCCTTTTTCCAGTAGGACCTTTGACTATTTATCTATTTTTGACTCCCTCAATGGTGTAGGGATATTTTAAGTGGCATGACTTTTTAATCAGACTTCTATTTCTGATAAGACTTAGCCAAGTAAGCAGACTGTTTGAAAACTCTAGATGTAGCTTAAATTCAGGGAACACCCACAATTGAAATTATAACCATAATTGTCCAATCCACAGGTAGTGCTAATAAGGAGAATAAGACAGAGGCGAAAGGCCCCACTCAGACAGCTCTTCTCTTGGAGAGACAGAAGAAAGCCCTGGGCTCAGACGGAGATGTGGCAGACTTGCCATCCAACTTCAAGCGTTACCCGAATGTGAGTTTTTGTAGATTGCTGTTAACCTTTTTCGCACCTATGGAGTTACTGATTGATGCACTGAATATGGATCATTAGACTGATTGCAGTGGTGCGAAGGTAAATGGTGAAGTGGATAAAATCTGTCAATGAATAGTGATGCTGAAAAGAATTTTTACAGGAAAGCAAGATTTGAAATCTGTTTGAATGTTAATGTTTAAAAGTGACCCTAACAAGTGTGGAAAAGTTTCTGTAAATCAATTCACATCAGTATAATCGCTTGAATGAAATGAATTTGTATAGGTTTTACACTCTTAGCAACAATGTAAGGTTATTTAAGAGGCAGGACTTCCGAATTTAATGTCCATCTCAAATAGGACTGAGCAAAATGAGAAAATTTGTGTAAAGTACTATTCCCAAGGACACAACATGGGACGGAGCTGAGTCTCGAACCCCTGAACCTGCATTCTCACAATTATGACATTAGTAGCCTTGTCATTTGCCCTCCAATATGCCACTGTATAATTCCTTTGTCTCAAGTGTCTTGGGTTTAAGGTTGGAGGAAAGGTAGATAAACCATTAGTGTGATATGTCTGGGCTCTTGTAGCCCAAAGCTCACTGCATTTCTCTTTCAGTTATACATTCAGTCAGATCTACGCTCATAGTATCTACCAGCCCAATACTTCACCTTCTCAAAGTGTCACTGCCTTTTGCCAGTGCATGAAAGTATGAGTCATTGCATAAGGCTACACCCTCTTCCCCCGCTGGGAGAGAAAAAGGAGAGAGAGAGAGAGAGAGAGAGAGAGAGAGAGAGAGAGAGAGAGAGAGAGAGAGAGAGAGAGAGAGAAAGAAAGAAAGAAGGAGAAGCGAGATGGAGAGAGAGAGAGAAAGAAAGAGAGGCGGAGAGAGAAGAGA